CACTACTGGGAACAAGCAGTGCGAAGCAACTTACCGACAGCTTGTGAACAAATTTGTAACAACTTGTGTGTTTTTTTTTGCCAATCCAACGAACTTTTCTTGACAAACTTTCCGCTTGTGTTCCTGCTTTGCCCAACGTTATTCGCCAGTGGAATACTTGAAACGTCACTTTCATACCGGCTTGCAGTTGTTTTAGCGAAAACCCAGTAAAAACCCGTTTTTGCCAAGAAACGTACGTAGCTTTCCTCGACGTCGGCCCGGTCGTCGCGCTCACGATATTTGATTCAAACAAGTGATTCAAACATTTGATTCTTCTCTTCTCACTAGACTTCAAAGCTTTTTAAACTGTTTAAATAAAAACTAATATTTATGAAAACACAGCGCAAATTAAATTACATTTTTGTGTGACGTCACCGACGATATTTTTACCCTGATAAGTTCACTGTTTGTTTTATGTGTTTTTATGTTTTATATATCAACAAATATGTTTACACATTTGTAATTACACAGCAATTTAATATACTGCACATAAGTGTGTTTTCGTTCATGAAATGTCAAATATAGTACGTGCAGATTAGTGTCACGATGTTATTAGGTGACGTCACGATGACGAAAACATTAATTTGATGGACAGGCGCGGCGAGCGAGGCGTATAAAAAGTAACACAAGCTAGCTGGGCGTTTTTATATTGTAAACAAATAGCTACTTCTCTCGATTTCTTGTTCATCAGAAACTATATCGTAATATATAAACTAACAAGTTACATGGTGATGTTTGTGATGTAACTCTGAGTGTAGATCCACAACGGACGAGCTTGAAAAATATGGTGTTAGGAGTGTTCTGAGTCGAAATAAAACGACGGTTGAGCCACAAGCAGAAGCGCAAGCGCAACAAATGGCCCAGATGCCACAAATATTTATAGCGCCATCGAATTTGCCACCGTCAAAGTCGCTTTTATTCGACGATAACTTGCCAACTACATGGGAGCACGGTTAATAGATCTAGTTCTATTAACCGTGATGGGAGTGTTGGAAGAAATCATGGACACGATACGAGATTGCAACCGGTGTACAAAAACAAGAAGGTATTGTCAGAGTATCAACCTTATTTAATAAGCGTAATCGGCGAGGCGGTGTTAAGGCATATGATACTTTTACTTGGGGCGAAGATGAGAATCAAAATGATGTTGATTTGTACTTAAAAAATTTGACAAATTTTGTTCACCGAGAACTCAAATAAGGGACCGGTCATTATTTATGGCAGAGATGGGGGCCGAAGAGAAAGTATAATGCAGCCGGAAAAAATCATTACCACACCTTTTTCGAAATAAAAGTTTCTAGCTACCCCACCGGCAACCTCGTTTCCAGGGTCTCTCCGTCTGTCATCTGGGAGAGACCCTGGCTGCGGCTGGTCACGTGCCTCCCAGATTTTGGGAGGTAAATTTAATTGTAACTGTGAGAGGGGTGGGAAAGGAGCGTGTTTGTAGCGTTTTAAAATTGCAACTGTGGGTGATGAAATGTACTGTAAATTTGCAACAAGAAATCGTAAAGAGAACTCTTAAATTAATATTTATATCGTGCATGACGTTCTACTCTATAATCTGGTGTCGAGTTACAATTCAAGCAAGTTGGATCAGATTTCATTTAATATAGACTTGCCAAAGAAATCACGCTTGCGGTGGCTTGCCGCTTGTGCAGCGTGGCAATATTAAACCTACAGGAAAATATGTATCTCCAGACCGAACAGTGTGGTTGTTATTTATTTAGTATTAAAGTCTATCCTGATACTCGGACCAAAAGAATTTATTTATTGATGAGATGTGGAATTGGGGTCCTACTAAAGAATGCCCGGGAATGCCCGGGAACGCCCGGGGAGATTCGTTGAATGCCCGGGAATGCCCGGGAGTTGGGAAAGAATGCCCGGGGAAAATTACGTTCATAATTACGTTAGTTTATATTAATAAAATCACTTATTTTATGAAAGATTAAATAATTCTTGTAATATATGGCATTGCAAAGTACTGTTCACGGAATGTCCGGCTGTCACAAAAGAATGCCCGGGAGTCGAAAATGAATGCCCGCGGTAAAATTACGCAAGTAATTACGATAGTTATAAATGAAACATTAACAAGTCTTTTATTTTTCAATGAAAGTTTCTTGTAATATATGGCATTGCAAAAACTATTCACAGAAATTATTTATTTGGCTTTGTAATGCTAAATAATAATGAAGAAACATCTTTTTACACTACCGAAAATATATTTCACTGATAGTGATATATTCTGAGTAGATTTGAAAAAGACATTAGCGGTACGTAATTTTCCCCAGGCATTCTGTGAATAGTTTTTGCAATGCCATATATTACAAGAAACTTTCATTAAAAAATAAAAGACTTGTTAATGTTATCATTAACTATCGTAATTACTTGCGTAATTTTACCGCGGGTGTCCCAGTTGATTTGGACCCCCGTAGATTTGGACCCCCGGTTCATATCCACTAGTAGATTTGGACCCCCGGGTCCAAATCTACTAGTGGATATGGACCCCCGGGGGTCCAAATCTACTAGTAAATATGGACCCCCGTTGGCGGATTTGGACCCCCTTCAAAAGTTAAATATTTGTAATGTGAACACAATAATATAAACCAAATTCATAATAGCGATCAATCTGAAGTATTTAGTCACTTTAAATATTTGTGATAAAGGCCACAAAACGTAAAATAGAAAAATAGAATACAATCGTAGAAATTGCATACAGCATTTGGATCGACACGAAACACGATTTTCATGAATGTTTTTAAACAATAAGTGATGGCGACTCATCTGAATGGAAGCCCAGCTGCGACTATCCACTAATGGTTTTAAGAAAAGCTATAGAAATAGAATATTAGAGCAACGCGATTCCATGCAAATTTTTAAACAATAAGTGATGGTGACTCATCTAAATGGAAGCCTTTTTAGCTATTTTGCTCATATAAACGTCATATTGCGTATATACATGAGTTTTTAGTGGGTTTATTTATCCTTTTATAGTTGTATACACACTTTCCATGCATTTGGACCTTTCTAGTTTACTTGTAGTTTAATATTTTTGAATTTGGATCTCACTGGCAATAAAAAGTTTTCTATTCACAATAAATGACTATGTGTGGTTGATAAGTAGCTACGGGTATCGGAAAACTAATTGAATTTAACATATTCACCGTTATTGGGGTTGTTCTTAGTGTAGAAAACTGTTTAAAAAAGGGGGTCCATATCCGCTAAAGGGGGTCCATATCTGCTAGGAGATTTGGACCGGGGGGTCCATATCTACTAGGAGATTTGGACCGGGGGGTCCAAATCTACTGGGGGGTCCAAATCCGCTGTGACACGGGCATTCATTTTCGACTCCCGGGCGTTCTTTTGTGACAGCCGGACATTCCGTGAACAGTACTTTGCAATGCCATATATTACAAGAATTATTTCATCTTTCATAAAATAAGTTATTTTATTAGTATAAACTAACGTAATTATGAACTTAATTTTCCCCGGGCATTCTTTCCCAACTCCCGGGCATTCTTTAGTAGGACCGGTGGAATTGCAACGAAATAGCGAGATCTTTTGATTTCCGAAATATCGCCAACTGTATCCAGATTGTTGATAAACTTAAAGCCCTTTGCATTGCTGAAACCAACGATCATGGACGTGGTATATATCAAAGTATAGCTGTCTGTTGAAAATCTACGGTATTAAAATTAAAAGCATACACCAAAGATAAGTCAAACGACAAATTATATGTCACTATATATTATACATGTCTTTCAAATATGAGCACTGTTTAGTAGTGTTCACCACCTTTATAAATTTTGTAAACAGCTTTCGTTAATTTGACATGAATAAGCTTTTATTTTTTGCTTATATGCATTCTTACTAATACAAGTGAGATTTAAATTTTTGCTTTGTGAAATAGGATACCGTTATTTTTTAATGGACAGCTTGCATCGTCTATATCATATCCAGGATTGCTTGTGTGCAAACGCATTATTCACTATATGGCACTATCAAATAAATATATTAAAAGTAGCAAATGATTAATGAATTAGAGATAAACAGGTGATTCACAATGAAAACTTTAAAAATGTTAGTAGAAGTAGAAAACTCGAAAATTTACGTCTGTTCGTATGACGCCAATGACTGTCTGTGCGCATCTGACACTGTAAATTTGTGATATAGATTATAGTATGTTGGCACAATATAATGATTAATAGAGACCAACAAAAAGGCTAAATCTTACTATAATTACCGAATACGAATTATGTACTAAATTTCCTCTATGCTTATGGACATTTCTCTGTTCAGCTATTTATATCAAATGTTTACATTTGCTAATATTGGGCCAGTCCTAGACAATACTGTTTCTTTTAAAAATCTTATAAACAAGACGCGTAGACGTAGTAACAAATGAATCGGTGCCAAGCGTATCAACGTTTACAAGAAAGGACGAATGTAATGGCGTATTTTAAAAACATTACCATAAACGTTTGTTACTAAACCGCGCTCGAGTGTGAAGAGAGCATGCATTGAGTAACAACACGAGACTCGAGCACTGCGAGTAACGATTTGCTTGGTTTCTTTGATTTGACTGTAAGTAAGAATGTAAGAATGTTCTTGTAAATTCAAAGCAAAGAAAATAAACAAAAATTAGCAAGTATTTTGAATGTAATAATTCGCAAAATTTATGTTTTTAACGAATATCCAACTGGAAGCATGTTATGTAATTTGATACTTTCCCCACACCCCCTCGGGCGCTAAATTTTTGATGAGGCACGTGACCAGCCGCGGCCAGGGTCTTTCCCAAAGAAAGATCCTGGGTACGAGGTTGCCCCACCGGTGGAATGCTGGAAAATTTTTTTACCCCACCCAAACCTATAGTTTGTTGCAACGTCAAAGGTCCAGACATAAAATATGTAATGAAACAGTTTAATATTTTGCATGCGTATTACTCATCAAGGTCCAAAGTTCACTTTTCCTGAGGCGCATCTTAGCCCAGCTTTAGCAAGATCTTGGCCTAAAGGGGCGGGATCTCGCTGGGCTGAGGTGTAAGTACTTAATCTCGTTTCAAATGGAAGCATGTTCCTCATACGTTTTAGCACGGCAACTTGTTGAGAAACTTTACGACAAACTTTGTTTACATGCATGCCAAATTTCAGTTTTTCATTAACCGTTACCCCAAGTAGCTCTAAAACATCACTGTTTTTTATGACTGTGTTTTCGCAGGAAAATTCAGGTTTAGTCTCAGCTGATTTTTCCATTACAATGGCTTGATATTTTGTGTAATTTCTTTTCATTCCATTTTCTGCGTACCATTTGTCGACGTTGGCCAAGTCAGAATTTATCGTTTCTTGAACTTTGGCTGGATCTTGATCTGCGTGAAAGATTTGCGTATCGTCCGCGTAGGCCGACAGTTCACTTTGATTTACGACATATGCCAGATCGTTCATAAACATATTAAAGAGAAGCGTTCCAAATATGGATCCCTGAGGGACGCCAGCAGTCATATTTTGCCAGGTTGAATAACTGTTTCTATACTTGACTCTTTGCTTTCTATGGAAAGATAATCCTCAATAAGCACGGATGTTTTCTGATCAACTCCATATTGTCGTAGCTTTGAGACGATTAGGTCATGTGGTAATGTGTCGATGTGTATGTGGTAATGAGACGATTAGGTCATGTGGTAATGTGTATCAAAACCGTGCCAGAGCGCTCAAACTGCAAACAGTGAGCGTGCGCAATGCGTAAGCGGCAATGGCTCATCCTGTAGAGCGCTCAATATGACCTAATTATATATTCGTTTTACCTCAGAAAAACCACAACAGACTGTTGTCTGGTATATATATATATATATATATATATATATATATATATATATATATATATATATATATATATATATATATATATATATATATATATATATAAGTACAATCTATATACCGTATATATATAAAAGACAAACTTGAGTTACTTCGTTAAAAACATTTATTCACGACAAATTTGTTTTGTATGGCAAACTAGACTTGCCACACTCATCAGGTGAATGGTGATATCGCGTATTTACATGATGTTATAACCTATAGGTAACTTGAGCTGTTATATACAAATGTTTGACGTCATTAGAAAAGCGTAAATATATGCTTGTAATCTGACTACTGGCTACAGAGCAGGAATTTTTTCCTGTGCCTACATGCCGATATTAGTTCGTTTCTTGAGTTCAATGAGCTTAGTTTGGGATAATAAATTATAACGAACTTTTTGTGCAGGCATAATTTACAACGTTTTGTTTTGTTTGAGTAGGCCTTAAAAAAAAATCAAAATAAAAAAAAAATCAAAATCAAAATCAAATCAAAAATCAAAATCTACCAACATAAACCAATGGAAAAATACTGACGCAGTAATCAAGTGGTTTAACAACATGCCTAGTAAATCTACCCGCTCGTTTATCAGCTTCGATATAGTAGATTTCTATCTGTCTATATCAGAAGAGCTCCTGAAAGAATCCCTAGCATTCGCCTCACAATACGACGAAATAACCGAAAATCCTAACAAATCCACCAAAGCCTAAACGTAATAGAAGCAGAAACGTGATATGGTTTAATCCTGAACTCAAACCTAGCGATATTGACGATATTGACTATTTTACAAAATTATAAAATCAATTAACGTACTAGGTGCATGGCAACACTAACAATATTGAATTAAGCACAATGTGCGAAACTAGAAAGTCAACCCTACGCTATGAGCACAATTCAAATTTAAATTATATTGACAATCAACAAGACCGGTTAGTTCCGGCTATCCGAGGCTTCAAGATAGCTTCTTTGAACATAACAAGTCTACCAAAACACATTGACGAACTTCGGATCTGCATGAATGATAAAGAAATAGATGTTCTTGCAATTAATGAAACACGAATGGACGATAGTGTGCCAATCGAGTCAATAGCCATTCAAGGTTACAATTGGATTTCCAAAAACAGAAATAGATCTGGGGGTGGTATCGGTTTTTTCATTAGAGATTCAATAAATTTTCGACCTCGAACTGACCTGAATAATCATGATATTGAAATTCTTACAATACAAATTAGTAAACATAACGTTAAACCGTTCTTAATTACAACGTGGTATCGACCACCAAACGATCCAATTGACACCCTTATAGATTTGAGAACTGTTTACAACTAATAGACAATGACAATAAAGAAAGTATTATCCTAGGAGATGTAAATTATGACTTCTTATCCACAAGTCTATCTCCCCAAGCTTCGGAACTCAAATTTATTACAGGACTGTATCAATATGAATTACAATTGATAAGTGAACCTACAAGAGTTACTAAAGATACTCGGACATTAATTGATCACTTTTATACAACAAATCCTGATAATATTATTTCAAAGGGAGTGTCAACTGTTTCCATTAGTGATCAATATCTTATTTATGGCATCAGAAAATTTAAGGTCTGCAAAGAAAATGCAAATATAATCGAATACCGCGACTACAAACATTTCAACGAACAAATATTCTTGCGCGACCTACAAAATTACTTATTCGATTTTCACCTGGACCAACACGATCCAAATATATCTTGGCAGATTTGGAAGAATAAATTCTTCAGAATCTGGAACAACCATGCCCCAGTAAAAAGACGGAAAGTCGGCACTAAGCGGCTTCCTTGGCTAACAACAGACCTAATTCACAATAAACGACATATTAATTTCCTACATAGGAAAGCTAGAACAACCAACACAACTGATGCCTGGTCTGTCTACAGAAAGGCAAAAAACCAATACAATAGGCAAATAAAAGATACAAAGTGCTCCTATTATCGAGGCAAACTACATAGCAATTCAGGAAATTTAAAACAAACATGGAAAACACTCAACGAATTGATGAATAGAAAGTCAACTAATAATAAAATCCTAGGAATGAATGATGAGAATGGTGAAGTAATTGACGAAACGCTGATCCCTAATGCCTTTAATAAATACTTTGTTGAACTAGGGGAAAAACTTGCGAATAAAATTCCTCAATCGAATATTTTACCGGATAGTTTTCTCAGTGATGTACACCATCCAGCTAATGGGCTCCCTAGCTTTCAAGAAATTTCAGAAAATGATGTTTTGACTCTACTTCATGGTTTAGGGCCCAATAAAGCATCGGGAATCGATGGTATCTCCTCTCGTATCTTAAAACTTTCGGCAGCAGTTATTTCACCATCCCTAACATCAATATTCAACCAGTCAATCTTAACAGGCATATTTCCCAATGATTGGAAAATCGCTAGAATTACTCCGATCTTTAAGTCTGAAGCTAAAGATGAAATGACAAACTACAGACCAATATCCGTTATATCAGTAATTGCCAAAATTGCAGAAAAGCTGATTTATAACCAAATCTATAATTATTTACATAACTATAATCTACTTTCAAACTCCCAACACGGATTTAGACCACTTCACTCAACTGTTACAGCATTACTGGACATAACCAACGAGTGGTATACAAATATTGACATTGGGAAACTAAATGGGATTGTACAGTATTTCTGGATCTGAAAAAAGCATTCGATACTGTCAACCACAATATACTCTTAGACAAAATAGCAACTTATGGAATAAAGGGAACGGCACATCGCTGGCTGGAGTCGTATCTATCAAATAGGACCCAGTGCTGTTGTGTGAATGGCAAACTATCAAGTCCATCAATTATGAAAACAGGCATACTTCTAATTTACATCAATGATTTACCAAAATGTTTAAACGCCGGGACAAACCAGATATGTTTGCGGATGATACCCAAATTGCAACATCAAGTGACGATATCAAAGTTATCACTGAAACATTAAATAGAGATTTAAATAATGTTGCAAATTGGCTGTCCGCAAACAAATTAACTCTGAACAATAGTAAAACCGAATATATGATAATTGGTTCCAAGAAAAAAGGCTTAGTCAAGTGACTGCCGATCCTGCTATCAGTATAGGTAACTTAGAAATTAAGAGAGTTGAAATGACAAAATCATTGGGCCTAATGATAGACGAGTCTTTAGACTAGACCGCGCAGGTCGAACACGTTTCAAAAAAGGTCACTTCAGGCCTTGCTATTCTCAGGCGACTCCGGGATACAGTCGAATTCAATTCCTTAATAACAATATACAAATCCATAATTCAACCTTATTTCGATTATTGTGCTCAAGTGTGGGGTTGCTTAGGGAAAACATTAGCAGCTAAAGTCCAAAAATTACAAAACAGAGCGTTTCGAATAATCACTCGTGAGAATTATACGACACGATCGGCTGATATATTAAACAAGCTAAAAGTTCGGAACCTCGAAAAAAGAAGAATGCAACAACTTTCAATTCTCGTGTACAAGGTGAAAAACAAATTGGTCCCCGATTACTTGTGTGATATGTTCACAAATGTTGGTGATGTACACGACCATAACACAAGACAGTCGGGAGCCGATTTGACATTGCCTAAACCAAAAACAAATAGTATGAAAAATGCATTCTCCTACAGAGGTGCGGAAGTCTGGAACTGCCTTCCTGCATCGGTAAAAGCATCAACAACTATTGCTAATTTTAAATCTAACTTGAAGCATGCAAATTAACATCAAGTGATCCTGCCATTGTTTCCATCTACTTAAAATAATTTTCTTCTAATTATTTCTTATTTCTGTTTGTGTGAGCACGGCCGGTTGGAAGATCACCTTTTTTCTTTTTATATCTTG